CACAACGTCCGTTTAAGAAGGTCCACCCATTAGACACTCAGGCTGAAGAGGTGGCCGACGTTGTGGAAGATCCTGGAATCGATCGACAATTCAGCCAAATATAGGGAATGTTTGAATTTAAATCACAAGGTAGTTTCACCCTCATATCCAACTCTACAGTCCTATTTGGTTAAAGGACAGAGAAATCAACTTGAACGTAGGTTTTAGAAAAGGCTTCCCTCCTCCAGGGAACCAGGATATGACTCTACTGAGCCCCTCCCGTGCGGCACTGCTCAGTCGTGGGTCTGAGACGGAAGGTGTAGATACTCTCCTCCCCGGCGGGAAATCCAGACTAAGGAGCCGTTTGTCTCAATAGCCGGGCTGGGTCCAGGGACGTGAGTTAAGCCTGAACTTCTAAAGTCCTGAAAACCTCTAGCTCCTCAAACATACTTCCCAGAACGGCGTAAAGTCAGCACACGTGAGTGCCTGCTATGCTGGCCTCTCGGTGATTACCTGTGGCTTTGGGGGAAAGGAAGAGAAGAAAAGAAACCTGCGCTCTGTGAGGTGAAGCAGGTGTTTGGGGAGGTTCCTTGGGAACATCTTGGTTTCCTTTCAAAGATCCAAAGGGAGGCAGTGGCCGGACACTTGAAGTTCTTGCGCTGTGTGTAAGTAATCATGAGATTGGAGAGGGGGGCCCATTTTCTCCACAGCCCCGTCACCCTTCGCTCTGTCTTCTGGCTCTGTCGTTGCTAAGCCAGCTCAAACTCAAAGTGCTGCTCTTCAACGTCCTTTGCCAAATCAACGTTACCTATTTTCCTCGGGATTCTTTGGATGCGTCACTTTCTTCTGAGAGGACGCTGTCTTTACAGTGGAGGCATTAGGTCATGGCACAGTCTCTGTGACACCCCCCCCCCCACTCTGTGCACACGTCCCTGCCGGACCCCAGAGCCTGTGGTCCGTCTGGAGCACCGGTGGGCCCGGCTTCTCGAGGGGTCCGGGTTTGACTGGGATTAGGAACAGCAGTGAAACAGTGAGAGCCGGGAAGGGGCCCTCCAGGGTGCAAAGTGATTCCCAAAGATTCCTGATCGCTTAAGGCAAGAGTCACCTGGCCCTGGAGAGAGTCAAGGGAGGGTGGGCGTGGGGCCAAGATGGAGGAGAGAGTTTGGGTGTGATTTCTCGAGCACAAGTACGGCCTGCCTACAGATCCCCCTCTGGAAGCTTCTGTTTTCAAGAGAAGCCAGGTTAGGGATGGCTTCCGCAAGGCAGTCTCCCAGCTCTGGGGATCGGCCCATCCTCCACACGTCTGTCTGGCCGTCCCAGGCTAGCGCTAAGTCTCCAAAAGAGGACCCTCCGTGTGGCCTGGACAGGAGGGCGGTCTCCAGGGGTGCCTACCCCGCATGGTGGCCCCTGACACGCAGGAGCTTGGCCAGAGCACAAGCCGCTCTTTCTCCGGCTCCCCCAGCAGAGCCCAGAAGGGCAAAGCCCGCTTGCTGCCCAAATGCCCTCCACCGCTGAGCCCACCTGGGCACGAGGCCCGCCCACCAGGCTCTCGCCGCACCTTCCAGCACCTCTGGGCGGCGGACAAGGAGAGGCGGGGGGCCTGGAGTCCGGGAGTGTAGGCACCTCTGCTCCCCACAGGCTGCAGCCTTCTCCCAGGCTGGCCGCTGGGGTGTTTCACCCCTTCCTCCCTGGGATCACCCAGCCGAGGCCCCAGACCCCGAGGTCCGGCCTCTACGACCCTGGGCCCCAGGGCACCTCGCTGGGTGTGTAGGCCAGTGCTTCCCTAGGAGCTGAGCATAGACATGCTCCCTCCCCGTCCCGCTTCCCCCCTACTCATCCCCGGCTCCCCGAGCCCCTTCCCTTCTGTACAGCCTTTGTCTGCAGGCCGGGGCAGGGCAGAAGGGCCAGGCTGGAGGCCCCTTCTCTCTGCTCGGCTCCGCCTCACTTCCCCGGGGCTGGGACCCAGCGCAGGGCCGGCCGCTCAGAGCCAGGCTCCCAGCCAGGGGCGCGGGGCTCCCCGGCCTGATTTTGTTGGGGGTGAAGTGTCGCTCTCTGGAATTGTGGGGTGGCTCTACCAGCCGAGGGGCAGGGACCCGGGGCGGCCCCCTTTTCCCCCCGAGTGTCCCCACGCCCACCTACCCAAGTGTGGGCAGTGAGGGGACAACGGAGCCGCCCGGGAAATGTCACCCTCCTCCAGCCTCCTTTTAAGAAAAAAAAAAAAGGTGAATCTGCAGCCAGGCACCCGACGCCCCCGGGCTCCTCTGCCCTCCGCAGCCCTGCAGGTGCTAGTAGTACTGCTAGTGTCGCCGAAATAAATCCGTGCGTCCAAAAGCGGTCTTTCCTTTTGACACGCTTCCAGGCCCCTCTTTGTGCAGATAGTCCCGGAAGTACGGATGCTCTTCTCCGAAAGCCGGTGGTTTGCTGAGGCTCTCCCATACCTGGGAGAGGAGGAACATTCGAGGCTCCTGGGCCGCGGCCTCGCCGTGTGCTAAGGAGAAACACATTCCGGGGGTGGTTCGGTGGTTCACTTGGTCGCGCAGCGGCCGAGAAACCGACCTTGAGCGCGGCCAAGGCGTCAGGGTCCGGCCAGAGGGGGGACGCGGCTCGCCGGGCGCAAGGCGTCGGCGACCCTGCAAGCGGCTGCGGAACTGACATCTCCGCGGCCGCTGGAGAATCCGACAAATGCCCACTTCCCCGCACCCCCAAAAAGCGCGGCCAGGGCAGTGTGCCCGGATTCTGCAGGAGGACCGGGCTGGGCCTCAAGCGCAGCACCGAAGCAGCTTGTTCGGATGTCCGTGTTGTAGGATTTAGAATTGCCTCCGCTTCCGCTGCTTCGGCCCAGACTCCCTCGTCCCCCAGGCCGGCCCTTCGGAAGCTGCTCCCTCTGCAGGGGTGCTCGGTAGGGCAACTATTGTCGTGTTCGGGTTGGCTTTGGGTGGCCTGATACTTTTTAATTCCTTCTCTCCACATTCCTTTCTTTTCGCCCGCCCCCCCCCCCTCCAGGGCCTCCTCTTCCTCTCTCTCCAAGCCTGTGAGTGGGGAGTCGGCCCTCTCCCTGCCCCCAGCCTGACCCCGCAGCCTGGAGACCTGTGGAGCACCCCCTGTGGCCATGACTCTGGGTCTGGGTGGCTGCAGAGACCCCAGCCCAAGCCCAGCACCGTGGGCTCCCTTCATGCTGAGGCAATCAGAGGCCAAGTTTCCCAAGAAATTAGAAAATATTTCTCAGGAGCCGGCCTAATTGATTTTTCACGGGACAGGTGGAGACGTTAACCTGGGAAGGCTCTGCAGGAAGCAAACCAGCCCCGGGCCTTCCCTCCACTCACTGGGGGCTCTGGAGACCCGAAGGGCTTGGGCATTGCCTGCCTGGTGACGATTAGGGTTCTCAGAGTTGCAGGAAATTTCCCCAAAAAACCATAAACATGTGTCGAAAGGGCGTCCCCACAAACCTCCGCGGCCCCATTTTCCTAGGGGCAGGCAGGCTGTGAGGTTTGATTTTTTGGAGACGCATGGAGGGTCCCTGGCAGGGACTGTCCCTGGCTGAGCGGGACAGTTTCGTTTCCTCCAATGGGAGGGACACGGAGGAGCTGTGTACCCCCACGTGAGCAGTGCCTTCCCCACCCTGAGTCTCACAGAAGATCGAGGAGCCTCTCCATCTGGCTCCAGAGCCTGCCCGCACTCAGTCCGCTCCGGGACTGAGTGACGGGGGCCAGCACCTTCCCCGGTCCCCCATCCAGGCGCCCCCTCCGAGGGTTCATTTCGCTGGGAGCAGACCCCTGTGACTGCGGCTCCTTGTCCCGCCCTGGCCTGCACCCCGGGGCCTGCAGCGGGTAGAGACCCGCCCGGACTGCGGGTGTGAGCAGGCAGAACCCAGCCAGGCTGGGGTGAAGCCTTCAACCCTCAAGGTGGTCCGGCGGTCACCGTCCTGGGGGGAGCTGCTTGCCCAGCCTGGCAGTGCGCCCCCCCCCGCAGCCCCAGGCCCAGAGCCACTCCGCCGTGGGTCTCAGCTGCCGAGCACCCCGAAGCCGAAGCCGCCTGGGCTGGCGTGAGCTAGGGCGCCGGCTCTTGATCCTCTCCTCTCCCCACCCCTCGTTCCAAGGAGAGTACTTGTACTGTGTCAGTGCTCCTGAACCCTCGGAGCCAAGCCGTCCTTTAGGCTGCTTCCCGACGTTTGCAAATTTCCATAAAAATGCATTTTAAATGGTCGACAGAGGAACAAGCACGGGGTTCGGTGGGGAGCGTGCAGCTGGGGGCAGGAGAGAAGGGCGGACAGGAAGCGAAGAGGAAACAAGTTCAAGTCGGACATTCTGACAGCAAGTGGAAAGGAAGTTTAGAAAGGAAGAGAGGAAGAGGCAACGGGGAGGAGCGGGGGAAACAAACCGGCCCCCAGGCCACCGCCCCTTGTTCACGGCCCCCCGCTCTCCTGAGGAACTACTTTAAAGGATTTTAAGACAAAGAAAATGAGGCGAATGGCCTGGTAGCCCCTCAGTGGGGGGCGGAGATGTGAGGGAGGAGGAAGGATGGTCTGAGAACTGGGGGGGGGGGGGGGGGCAGCTGATCTGGGGTGTTTTCTCTCCCAGCGGTTTTTAAGGTTCGGCCACGCCGTGGGCACGGCTGTCCCTTCCGAAACACTGGCTTCAGTTATAACCCGCCCAGCTCCCCACACGGAGCCCCACATCATATTCCCGCGCCCTGCGAGGTCTCCATGCATGTTTCATGAGGCCCGCGGTCCCCGGGTGGGATCCGACCGTATGCACGCGCCTCCCTGCTCGCGCACACGCACACACACGCACACTTACAATCAGTGTCTTACGGGAGGAGGGTCCTGCGCGCCAGCTCTGCGTTAAAGACGGGAATCTGCCGGGTTACCAAAGTCAAGTGTAAGTGACAATTTCCCCTCCGCCAGCCAGGAAAGGAGACCACAAAAGTCCCTTTGTATCTCGGCAGCTCATTTAATATTATTGATGCATTTTTGTGCAAGGAATTGTGGGATTTTTTTCCCCACGGTAAACAATATGGAAATGTTAAAAATAGCAGTCCTGCGGCGCGCGTCCGCCGCTGCTCGCCGGGGTGGCCCGGCGGGGCTTGTCGCGGGGTCCCGCGGGCCCCCGAACCGAGGGGCGGCCGGGAAGGCGCGAGCGGGAGCGCAGGGCACGCGGAGCGCGGGGACGCGGCCGCTTTAAGGGGGGGAGGGGCGGCGGCGGCGGGGGAGGGGCGGCGGGCGGTCCCGGTCGCCGAGCGGCCGCCGGCTCGTCACGTGGGCGCGCGGCGCCGCGGCCATTGGCCCGAGGCACGTGTCCAGGAGCCCGGCCCGCGACGTCACTCGAGGGGGCTCTGTTAAAAATAAGAACAAAAATCCAGAGTGAAAGTGTCTCAGGTCGCGCGAAGTGGCCTGGAAGCCGCCCGAGCCCGCGCCGAGGCCGAGGCGGCGAGGGCGCGCAGACGGCGAGGGAGCGCGGGCGGCCCAGCCCGGCCCCGGCCCCGGCCCGCGCCTCCCGCCGCTCACCCATGCGCCTCGGGCCGCGGGGCTCGGCGGGGCTCGGCGGGGGCGCGGCCGCACGCCGGTGGGGCGCCCGGGCCCGCGGCGGGGCGGCGGCCGAGCGCAGCGCGGGCCCGCGGGCCTCCATGTGCGCGCTGACCGCCGGCGCCCCGCACCCTCGAGGGCCGGCCGGGGCGCGCGGGCGGGGGCGGCCGGGCGGCGGCGGCGGCGGCGGCCCGAGCGGGCCCGGGCGGGCGTGAGCGCGGGGGAGCGCGCTGCCTGCATGCGCGCAGCTCCGGCCCCAGTCCCGGGCGGCCGCGGCGGCAGCGCGGGAGCCGGAGGCAGCCGGCCGCGGAGAGGAGCGCGCAGCCCGGGAGGAGCCCCCGGTGCCCGCCGGACCCCTGTGACTGTCTAGCGCCCCGGGGCGCCGCAGAGACGAGGACCCGACTCTCTCGAATCTCCCGGCGTCTGGGCGCGGGGGCGACTCTTGGTGTTTCCTAACTCAACTCGTGGATTGGAACGTGGCTCCGCTGCGAACGCGGCCGGTGACTCGCAGGACCCCGGCCCCGCCGCCGCCGCGCGCGCCCTCGGAGGACTCGGCGGGGTAGGGGCGCGAGCCGGCCGCCGGTGCCTCCGTGCGCACCACGGGCGGGCCGCGGGCTGATTGGAGCGGGGGGAGGGGTCCCCGGAGAACCAGTTTGGGATTTGTCGTGAACAGCATGGAGGAGAATGACCCCAAGCCCATCGAAGCGGCGGCGGCGGAGGGGCCGAGGCAGCCGGAATCCAGCCCCGGCGGCGGCTCCGGCGGCGGCAGCCCTGGCGACGCGGACACTGGCCGCCGGCGGGCCCTGGCGCTGCCCGCGGTCCTGCAGGCGCCGGGCAACCACCAGCACCCACACCGCATCACCAACTTCTTCATCGACAACATCCTGCGGCCCGAGTTCGGCCGCAGAAAGGACGCGGGGACGTGCTGTGCGGGCGCGGGCGGAGGAAGAGGCGGTGGAGCCGGCGGCGAAGGCGGCGCGGGCGGCGCGGACGGAGGCGGCGGCGGCGGCGCGGGCGGCGCCGAGCAGCTCCTGGGGTCGGGCCGGGAGGCCCGGCCGACCGCTCCCGGTGCGCCCGGGCCGCTGCCCGGCGGCGGAGACTCTCCGGGCGACGGGGAAGGCGGCTCCAAGGCGCTCTCGCTGCACGGCGGCGCCAAGAAAGGCGGCGACCCCGGGCCCCCCCTGGACGGGGCGCTCAAGGCCCGCGGCTTGGGCGGCGGCGACCTGTCGGTGAGCTCGGACTCGGACAGCTCGCAGGCCAGCGCCAACTTGGGCGCGCAGCCCATGCTGTGGCCGGCCTGGGTCTACTGCACGCGCTACTCCGACCGGCCGTCTTCAGGTGAGCGCGGCGCGCGGAGGCCCGCGGGGTTGCGGGGCGGCGCCGGCGCGGGAACTTCCCCAGGGGGAGAAGACTCCGGGACCCCCTCCCCCGTCCCCGACACACACAAAGACGCACACCCGGGGACAATGTGCTCGGCTGACGCCGGCCGGCAGGAGAGGGGGCGCGATCGATTCGCAGGCGGGTACAGATTTCTTAGAAACGCGGTGGAGACAGCACCGTTTCTCTCTCCCTCTCTCCCTGCCTCTCCTTCACTCGTTTTTGGGGCAACTCCTCGGAGTCCCACCCACCTCTCCCCCGGCTGGAGTTTATTGCGGAGGCTGGGGGTGGACGGAAGACTGGTCTAGAAGCTTGCACCCCTAATCCCTTCTCCGTCCTTCCCAACTCCGTCCATACCCGGGACCCATGCCCAGCCCACCCCAGACCTAGACTCACCCCACGACCCAGTTATCCCAGACGGAATGAGGGAAGGAAGAGCAAAGCCCCCGGCTCTTCCTTTGACCCTTAGGCCTGGGCTGAGGAGGGAGGAAGGGGACGGAGACAGAGGCGCCATTTGGGCACCTGGCGAGGGAGCTGAGCACCCACATCTGGATCTCTGCTTGGAGAAGGAGGGAGGCCTGCAGTCCCCCAAATAAAGGACCTTCTCCCAGAGCTTTCTGGGCGCAGCTCCCGGGCAGGAAAGCAGATTTCGGCGGGGTGGGGGGTGGGGGGAGAGTGAGGGGGTCCCCGGGTGTGTGCAGAGGTGCTGGGTGTATTTTTCATAGATCTGGATTTTTGTAAGCTGCATCCACGTCCTGGTGGAAATCCTCAGTTGCATGAAATGCTGCCTTCAGCTTGCAAATCGCCATTAGGACGGACTCCATTTGTCCCTGAGCCTGCAGCCCAGACAGGACCCCTCTAACCCCTAACTGTTTGCGGGGGCTGTTTACCCAGATCTCGGGCACAACCGAGTCACCCCTCGGCCGCTTTCCCGCAGAAATGTGTGTGTTTCTGATGAAACCCAAATTTCTCCGGCTGGATCTGAAATTTGCTCCATTGTTCTCGCCTCCCTCCTTTGTTAATATTTAATTAACATAGAGGCTCACAAAGCGGCCGGCGAGGAGTCTCGGCCGGCTTTGTGCAGCGGGGACGAGTCGCGGCGCCCCAGGCCCCGCCGGCCCGCGGGAGCCGCGCAGCCCTGCCGGGCCGTCGCCGGCTTTCCTGCACGAAAACGGAACAAAACGAACCCCCCCCCCCCCGCCAGGAGGTAACATTTGTGTTTCTTGGCCTCTTAGAAAGAGGCAACGCACAGAGTTTTTTTGCCGAGCTTTGGTTCCGGCTCTGCGACTCTTTAAGTGTTTACGTTTCGAAAGAAAATCGGCGAGAGAACGAGGCGTTCTGATTTTGGGGAGATTTCCAGCCCGCACGATGGTGTGTGTGTCTTTACGGGCCGGTTCGCGCGCAAGGGCCCCGGCACCGGAGGAGTTGGGGGGCGGGGAGCGGGCTTCCCCGGGGCGGTGGAGACGCGGCTCCCGGAGCTGCAGGCCGCGCGCGGCCCGAGCCGCCGCCGAGCCCCTCGCGGGCGCCCCCGCGGCCCCCGATCAAAGCCCGGCGGCCCAGCCGCAGCCGGCGCCCCCGGCGAGTGCGCGGCGGCCGCGGGGGGTGCGCGCGCGGGGCGCGGGGGTGAGTGCGGCTTTGCTCTACATTCTAGAAGGCCCGGCCGGGAGTTTGAGCCCCACGGCCCTTGGCGCCACTTCGGCCGCACCGCAGCGCCTCCGTCCGCGTTTGCCTCCCCGGGAGCGCACGCTGCGCCCTGGGTCCTCGGCGCCGCTGGCCCGGCCGCGCTCTCCACGTCCCGGGGCGGGTCGGTGCGGTCGGAGGCCTCCCGCCGCCGCGGCGCAGGGTGGGCGCGAGGGCGCAGGGCGAAGACCCGGGGCTCTGGCGGCTCGAGGGAGGCGGCAAGGGTCCAGCCTCCCGCGGCGGGTGTCTGGGAAGGGGCTGCGGCCGATGCCCCCCCGAAGTCGGTTCCCTTCACCCAGGAAGAAGCCATGCGTGCGGCCCGGACCCCCTCCCCCAGTGGCCTTTGCGGCCTCTTCCCTCAAAGACACCCTCGTGGGGCCGAACTTGTGGACAGAAACAAAAAGAAAGCGCTGGGCCCTGCCCCCTCCCTGCTCCCCTCGCCAGGGCCTTTTCGGATGGTCAGGTCCGGGAAACTTACACTGTCCCAGACCAACGTCAAGTGGGTGGGGAGGGGGTCCCAGTGGGAGGAGAAGCCTGAGCCCTCTGCAGGGAGTCCGCCGGGCTCCCCTGCAGCCTGCAGTGAGGAGGCCCCAGTCTGGGGGAGCAGGTCCTCTGCTCCTGGGGGACGGGGGGGGGGGGGGGGGGGGGGGGGGCTTCCAGGGGCTTCCCTGCCCAAGAAAGGATGCCTGTGCCCTTTCCCCTCCAGAAAGGAAACAATGAACTTGGGCCCACAGGGCCAGTTAGGGAAGGCAGAAAGGGGGCTAGGGTGGAGGCAGACGGGAGGCCGGGGGGGCTCCTGTTCCCCGGACTCCCGGTCCCCTGGCTTCTCTCACGGGCACCTGAGGGGCATCTTGTGGGAATCCCGTCACTGTTCCCTGGGCCCGCCCCCCCCCCAGCCCCTCTTCTTCACCTCCCTCTTGGGCCTGAGTCCACCCTGTGCTCACTCCTGGACAGAACCCCAGAGAAGGGTAGAAAAGGTCAGGCTAGGACGTTGGGGATTGTTGCTCTCCTGCGGAGTTTCCTTTTATCTGAAGACCTTTTTGTTTGTTTGTTTTTTGTTGTTTTTTTTAAAAGTTTTATTTAATTCTAGGAGAGAGAGAGAGAGACAGCGTGAGCGGGGGAGGGTCAGAGAGAGAGGGAGTCACAGACTGAAACAGGCTCCAGGCTCCGAGCTGGCAGCCAGCACAGAGCCCGACGCGGGGCTCGAACCCACAAACCGCGAGACCATGAGCCGCGCGAAAGTCGGACGCTTAACCGACTAAGCCACCCAGGCGCCCCACTTTTTGTTTGTTTTTAATTTTAAGTAAACTCTATGCCTCGTACGGGGCTCGAACTCAGGACCCGGAGATCAAGAGTCCCGTGTGCCCCTGACTGAGCCAGCCCGGCCGGCCTCGCCACGAAGGCCGCCCTTTACCCCCACTCACCCCGTCCATCTTTGTCGGCCTCTCTTCTGGCTTTGTGGGGGTGGGTCCCGGAGGCCGGGCGGGTGGAAGCCCCCCATCCCGGGCCGGGCCCTTTCTCCCCAGTCCCTGCGCCCCCCGCTCGCCCTGCGGCCGCCTCACCCTGCTCTCTGTCCAGGTCCCCGGTCTCGCAAACCAAAGAAGAAAAGCCCCCACAAGGAGGACAAGCGGCCGCGCACGGCCTTCACGGCCGAGCAGCTGCAGAGGCTCAAGGCCGAGTTCCAGACCAGCAGGTACCTGACGGAGCAGCGGCGCCAGAGCCTGGCGCAGGAGCTCAGCCTCAGCGAGTCGCAGATCAAGATCTGGTTCCAGAACAAGCGCGCCAAGATCAAGAAGGCCACGGGCAGCAAGAACACGCTGGCCGTGCACCTGATGGCGCAGGGCCTGTACAACCACTCGACCACCGCCAAGGAGGGCAAGTCGGACAGCGAGTAGGGCGGGCGGGCGCCGGTCCGGTCTCCGGCCGCGCGAAACAATGCAATAATGTAGAATCACAAAGGGCCAGTGTATAAAGGTGATACCAGCATTAATAGTGAAGATATCGTGTATTAGCTACGGTTCTGCAATATTCTATGTATATATAATTTACAGGTGGTGTAAAATCCAAAATATCTGACTATAAGATATTTTCTTGAGTTTTTCTGTGTTTATGAGATTATGCTAATTTTATGAGTTTGGTGATTTTTTTCGTTTTGTTTTTGTTTTCGTTTTGCGAAGGGGGGCTGCTTAGGGTTTCATCTTTTTTAATCCCCTAAGCTCCACTGTGGGACATTGGACACTTTTATTTTTTAATTTCAAAAAAAGAAAAGAAAAAGTAAAACAACTTGCTAAAGTCCAAAGATTTTTATTGCTGCATTTCACACGACTGTGAACCGAATAAATAGCTCCTACTTGGTCTATGAGTTCTGCCACTTTGTTTGTGTGGGCTTGGTGAGGACAGCAGGAGGGTGTGAACCCCCGGCCCCGGGCAGGGGGAGCACAGGCCCCCCCCCCCACCCCCGCAGGGCCAGGGGGCCGTTGGGGTCCTTGAGGAGTGGGCCCCTGGTGGTGGGCAGCCCAGGCCCCAGCCTCACCCCACCCAGCTCCCCTCCTTCTGCCTTCCCTCCCTTTCCCCGCCTCCTCCCCCTCCCCCTCCTCNTAGAGTCATGGGATCGAGCCCTGCATTGGGCTCCATGATGAGTGTGGAGCCTGCTTAAGATTCTCCCTCTCCCTCTCCCTCCCCTCCTCCCCCCCCTCCCCCCCTCCCCCCCCCCCCCCCCCCCCCCCCCCCCCCCCCTCCCCCTCCTCCCCCTCCTCTTCCTCCTCCTCCTCCTCCTCCTCCTCCTCCTCCTCGCCAAGGCCTGGCCAGCACCTCCATTTGTGCTTCAGTCTCCGTCTGTGTCGCTGTCCCCTATCCAGCCGCCCACTGCCAGAGCCAGCTCTTTCGCCTCCAGGCACCACTTCGGGGACCCCTGGCCCAGCCCGTGGCCAGAGGCCCCTCGTCCCTCCAGCCCCAGCGAGTCTCCTGCGGCTCCATCCGCCAACCCAGGCGCCCGGTGGGCCCCAGAAATGGCGGAGATCCGCTGCCCCTGGGCGCGCACAGGGCTCCCGAGGGAGTTGGTATTTTCTTCCTTTCTTTTTTTTTTTTTTGTGTTCTTCCTTTCCTTTTTTTTTTTTAAGTGGCTGCTTCTGCTAGCATTCTTTCAAGGTGCGTATGCGCGTGTGCGTATCTCTGCATTGCGAGGACACGCGCACACAAGCGGGCCTGTGTGAGTCCACTTTCAGAACACGTGGCTGGCTACCTTGACTTTTCAAGGAACTCAGAACCCTCCAGGATCTAGAGGAAGGAAGAAAAATGTGTAAATAATCATTTATCGCTTTTTGTCTTTCCTTGTTTTTTTTTTTTAATATACATTTTATTTTTTGAAGGTGTGGTACAGTGTAAATTAAATATATTCAATATATCCCCACCAAGTACATATATATAAACAAACACAGTATCTATATATATAACTCTGCACTGTCTCCTGTTTAGTGTATGGAAAAAGAATCGTGTCCAAATGTCATGTGCAGCCGGGATGGCCCCGGGGGCGCCGGGGGCTGAGCCACACCCACGGGACTGAGAGTGAGCTTCTCTCTTTGCCTTAAACCTCTCTACTTCCCTGCGATACTACTTTCACTTTGTACAGACTTGTGCAAACCTTTTTAAAAAGGAAACTATAAAAAGAAAACCTGTAATTTAAAATTCTGTGAATAACCATCTGCTGCTTAGGAAAACTCAATGAAATGATATGCCTTTTTAGCAGGAAGCGAAGTTTTTTGGTTGTTATTTTTTTATTTCATTTTTTTTTTAGTTTATAAAACATGTGCATTTTACAGTTCCGATATCAAATATTTATAATCTTATGAGAAATGAATGTTTCTATTTACACCTGTGGTTATCAGCATTGTGAACATTGCCCCCTTGCATTTTTTGTGTGTTTCGATTCTTGAAAGTTACATTAAATAAAAAAAAACAAAACTGCTTTATTGTAAAACATTGGATGTCCAAGGTGGAATGAAGAGTCTTTCTAAGCGTGTTTCTAAGTCCAGCCCAAGTGCCCTGGGCAACGTCCCCGTCGGCTGCTCCTGGCCTTGGGCTTAGTCGAGAGCAGGGTGCACAAGCGTATCTTTGTAGCCAGAGGTACAATTTTTTTTTTTTAAACAATGGAGCCGCTTTGAATATCTCCTGTGTGAGCGAGCACAGAACCACCAAAGTCATTTGAATACATTGAATAATTGTTGAAAATCCTACAGAATGCAACAGGCCTCTTTGCCTTCCCTGCTGTTCTGAGGGACAGAGGTGCCCCTCCCCCCGTCCCGTGGGGAGGGCTCTCCTCCCGTATGTTTTCTTGATTTTACTCCCGCCCACCACCCCAGCAAAGGACAAGGACAATGTCTCACAACAGACAGATGCGGGGAAAGGACCAGAAGTATCCGTCCGGGGTAGTGTTTTCGGGGGCCTGACGGCCAGGGCAGCGCCTCGCCAGTCCAACTGATCTAGGTCCGAACTTCTGTGGCTCGCAGAAGATTCTTCTCCCAATAAAAGACGCTCAGGGACTAGTGAGAATCCTCCGTTGCCAGAGGAGACGGGTTAGGCGTTTTAGGTTGCACCTCGGCTTCCCAAGCGGAAGCCGGCCTCCGGGCAGGAGAGTGGCTCCTCCCCGCCCCGGGATTTGCAAAGACTTCTGAGTGAGAGAGAGGTTGGGGGTCTCACCACAGAAGCTCTGGAGCCCTAGCTGCCTCGTCCCAGGAGTGCCCCAGGGTCGTCACCAATGGGGCCCCATCACGCAGGCCGTTGAGAGTGGCTCCCTCCTCCCGCTGCACAGTTCAGAGGATTCTTCAGACCAAAAACGAAACAAAACACGGGCACAACTTCTGTTACTTGATTGGCCTCTCTCTCTTTTTAATAAAAAGACAGTACAGCAACATTAAGCAGCCATTCTTGTTTTTTAATTTATTCACAGATCATAACATTGTTGAGGGGCAATGTACAGTTTTGTAAGGTAATGAGTTCCCCGTCCTCAGAAGAATGCAAGCAAACATCAAGCCTGCAGTGGCACGAGGAGCTATTCCTTTTTGTCTCTGATAGGAGATTGCACTGAATGAACCCCCAGACGCTCGAAATGCTGAGATTCTGGTTTTGCTCCGATATTTATTCCTTTTTTTAATTCAGCATGCCATCTAAGTTGGAGACTCACCGGCCAGCCCTCTCTCAGGGGCAAGTGGGGACCAGAGCCAGGCCTGCAGAGGAGGCAACGCGCCTTCCTGAATCCAGAGCCTGCTGGACTCAGGGCTCCGCGTGCCTCACGTCTGGACCGGGACCGGGACGGACCGGAGCCCCAGAAGCTGGTGGAGTCGGACCGGCGCGGCCTGTCGCGCCTCCAGGAGGCCAGCTCCGTGAGCGTTCTCCGGGGGAGAGCGCGTTCAGACGGAAAGTCCGAGCTCTCCACCCACCAGGCCTGGCTGCGCCCTCAACCCTCCATCGCCCAGCAAAATCCAGGCAGGGGCTGCCCGCTGCCCCCCCCCCCCCCCCCCCCCCCCCCGCCTGCGCAGGCAGCAGCTCCCGCGGCGGGGGTGGGGGTGAGGTGCCCGAGCGAGGGCCCTGGCAGAGCACCCTGGGGCCCCCAAGGCCTTCCTCGCCGGCTGCCAACGGTGATCAGATGAATAGGGTCCGACCAGAATCCCGGGGTGTGCTTTCTTAGGGGGAGACGAGGACGGAGCCACGCGGCTGTCCCCCGTCTAACCTCCAGGAGGACTCGACTCTGGGGCTTGGTTTTTCCTTGCGGGTGAAGGTGAAGTGGGCGGGGGCGCCTGGACCGCGGGCGCAGGGGTGCGGGGCGCAGCGCGCTCGCCACAAACCCCCACACGGGCGCGCGCGGACGCTGCCGCGGGTTTGCCGGCTCTTGCTCCGCTACAGGCCGGCGCGTCTCCAGCGGAGTGACGTCCGAGCCCCGCGGTCACGGCCCGCCCGGAAGGCTCCCCAAGGGTCCCCCGGGCCAACCCGCGTCCGCCGAAACCCGCGGCCTGCCGGGCGGAGGCGCGGCGCCCCGGGCGGTTAATGGAGACCGGCGACCCAGGGCTGTGTCGCGGCGCCACGGCCGCACCCCGGCCCCCGCCCCGCGCTCGCACGGCGGCCCCGCGCCCGGGCCTCGGCCGGGACCCCTTTCCGCGCGCCTGCGGCCCAGCCGGCCGAGCGCGAGGCTTCCTGCAGGCCTGGGGGGGGTGGCGTGGGGCGGGCCGGAGCGTGGCGCCCCTGCACCCCGCGGGCTGGCGGGGCGGGCGGGGCGGCCCCTCGCGGCCCGGGCCTGGGCGCGCGTGGGTGCGGGCGCCGGGAGTCCCCGGGCGCGCGCGCGCGCGCGCGAACCTGGCGGGTGCGCCCCGCGGCCCGGCTGCGCCTACAGTTCATGTTGTTAGTTTCAAACACTTCACTCTATTTCTGCTGCCCGCCCACGGAAAATAAAAGGCCATTCTTGAAATCGCCTGAAATGTAATAATATTCATTAAAGTGGTTCCTAATTATGAGATTTAATCAAGCGTGGTCCGCCGTGCCCCGCTCCGGCTGGTGAGGCCGATGATGACGCGCAGTTACTATTATTGCTGTTGTTGTTAGTGTCCCGCGCTCCTCCGCTTGCCGAGAGCGTCCGTCGCTTCTTCGGTTTGGGGGTTTGGGGGTTTGGGGAGCCCCGAGATGGAGGGAGGGCAGCAGAACGACTCCGGGACGGGTGTGGCCCTTGCACCCGGCCCCAGGCCCTTGCGAGGCCCGGGCAACAGTTCCGGGAGGAGGTAGGGGGTCCCCTGGCTCCTGGGCCCCCCACGTCCCGGAGGGGCGCCAGGGCGGGTTTTCTGGGGAGGGGAACCTTAGGTCCAGGGACAGCCCGGGACACCCCCCTCCTCTCTCGGCTGCTCCCCTTTCAGGGCTGAGCCTCGCTCGGCTCCGAGCAGCAACAAAGCGCGGCCGGATCTGCCTCGGGCGCCTTCTCGGCCCCTCTGCCTGGAAGGCGTCCCAGGGCGGCTCCCCCCACCCCGGGGCCCCCGGAGACCCGGAAGGACAGGAGACCTGAGGGCCCGGCCTGCAGGCCACCTTCTCCTGCGCGCGGCCGGGTGCCCCGTGCGCCCGAGGAAGGGCGGGATGACCGCGTGCACCGCCCTCTGCGGGGACCGCGCCCGCTCGCTCGTCCCCATCTGTCGGGCTGCGAAACTTGGCCGCGCCACCCGCGCGCTGCCCGCGGAAGGGGCCGCCCAGCGCCTTTCAGCCGCGCCTTCGGGGTTCTCTCCTCCCGCCAAGTCCTTTGTCTGGACGGGGACTGTCAGCTCCGCCACCGAGCCTCGCCCCCTCCTTCCCCCAACCTCTACCCCCTCCGCTAACTGCCCTTTCTTCCCTTCGCTTTTCTCTCCTCCTTGGATGGTTAATCACAGGCTCCAGCTGCCAAGCGCTGCGAGGAGCCGCTGCCCCGTTTCAGCGTCTGCGGCCCCTCCCAGCCCAGACGGGCCGCTTCCCTCCCGCCTCGCGGGGACCCCAGGCCCCTGCCCTCTGGCGTCATTCAGTGGCCCTGGGTCGCTG